AGTTTGTATTAAATTTTTTGACCAAGAACGAAACGAATACCATCCAACAGCCATCGAATTCACCCAATATGGCTCCCTGCGATTTTTTTCTGTTCGATCGAGTCAAAAAACCACTACTAAGAGGTAATGGAAAAATCGAAGACGGCTCTGATGGCTCTATACCGATAACCCAAGCAGCAAAATAGGGCGAAATTACGTGTATTCGACCTTCTAATAGGTTGAAAAGTCTGTTTGACCAATCCCAATTTACGTCGAATCGACGTCGAAAGAAGGTAAGTGGGGAATAAAGTTGAAGTAATTTTACGGTCGAAATTAAGTAATGGTAGGCATTTCGTCTTATAAGTCATAGTCCGATTTGGTCAAATAAACCTAATAAAAGGTCGAATATCGGTAATATTTTGGTAATTTTGACCTAATTCTGACCAATTTGTGCCCTCCCTTCTTTCGACGACTCAGTGTTTGTCGCCGAGAGGGCAACACTGTACATTTCCATAATAATTCTACCAAGACGGAGAATCACACTACAGCTATAACATGTGCTTGATATGGTTCCGACCAGCCATGGAAGTTCGAAATAAAATAGTAACAGAGTCCTTCTTTACGTCGGTTCTGAAACCGAATATCGCATGATACGTGACAGAAATATAAGTGCGAAAGAAAATTTTCTATACAGATTTTTAGTTTACTTCGTTAAAATCAACGCGCCTGCGAAAATATATAATTTAAACAATTATTAATTAATCGTTAATTATTTAACAACAATATATTTTTGCACTTAGTATAATAAAAATGTTTTAATCTCGCACCTACGCTAACAGTAGCATAAAATAGATATTTTTTTCAATCCTTAACATTCCGAGAGATATAATATAATTTATTTTTTATTAATGCTCAATTTTAGAAAGCGTTTTAGTATATCATGGCGGACAGAACAATCTTACAATAATGGCTGATTTAATGTTTTCGTCCAAATACTGACCTATAGGTCGAATTTCCTTACTGCTAAGGCTAAATGTCTAACTTTGAGAGTAAATTTCCTTAATCAGGGCATTTTTACTTCAAAATCGTTGACTTTGATGTCATCTTGTCGACCATTAAGGCATTCTGACTAACAAGTCAAATTTCCCTATTTATAAGTTAGATTGACTCAAAGTCGAAATCGCTGGATCGATACATATCGAAAAATGTCTGCTACATCGCGATCGTAAGTATGTATCACGGAATTAACTTAACCTAACTTATAATTATATACGGTCAAAGCCGCGATCACGCTTTTAAAAATTTTAACCTTTCATGACAACACTCAGCACAGAGAAAAAAACGTGTCTTGCTTGAACAAGCGATTTTTTACTCCTTCATAATCAACATAGAGAAAATAACTGATGCGATTGTACAGCAAACAGGATGGCGACTTTTAATAAGGTCCAAGACCAATAATTAACTTTCAGGGTAAATTTTGCAGGGCATTTTGACCTAACCTTAGATCAATTTTCCTTATAAGTCATTTTCCGTGGTAATCTCAACTTTGTAGTTAATTTCCAGCGACCACAAGGTTTATTTCGTGCCTTAGATATTCCCTATATTAGTCAAGAACACAAACGATTTATATATAGTAAAAAATTAGGTAATCCTAACCAATTAAGTCATATCGCTTATGAGGTTGAAATTAGGTGATACAATCAGGTCACACTTCCTTCAAACAGAGCTTTAATTTTGACTTATAAGTTAAATCGACTTTGAAGGCATAGCTTTGGTCAAAATTTAGTCATTTATAAGCTAATGTATAACTTTGAAGTCATTAAATTTTGAAGGCATTTTTATAGGTTTAAATTTCGTAATTTTCGACCTGTACAGAAGACTTCAAACAATATTTAACTGCTAAGACGTTTTTTATGTCAAAAATTAGTAATTTTTCACTTAATTAGGGCGACCTGACTTTGATGGCTATACCGACAATAGAGTTCCAGAAATATTTCGAGAGCTGGATCAAGTGCTGGCATAAGTGCGTTGCAGTCGATGGGGAGTACTTTGAAGAGGACAATATCACTTTTGATGAATAAACTTGTATTTTGAATTTTCTGAATGAATTCCGGGAACTTTTTGATCAAAGTAGTATATATGTATATACTATATACATATAGGTATAATATATATACACATAATGTTTCCGAGTTAAACTGCCAAACTTAAAATATGAATTTGAGATATTTTAAAACAAATAAAATTTTCCTTTGAAAGTTTTCTCGCGAACGATTCGCTTGAGATATTGATTAACTTTTCTTCTGTTTCGCTGGTGTCTCTCGTTTTTCAAATATTCATTTACGTCCGAACTATTTCTCATTATCCGTCAAATTGTGAAATTTCATTTGAATTTTCATGAAATCCACAAAGTGGACAATCTCGACGTTCGAACACTCGAGAAGTACTGTCATTCCACCGCGCTTCGTATTAAAGTCGCGCGCGACTTAGACAATCCCGGGGATTGCAGGACCTTCTCGTAACGCTGTCGACCCTACTGCGGGGTAGCATTTATGAGAAACTGAGGTGGACCTTCAAGCTGTACGACATAAATGGCGATGGTTGCATCACCAGGGGCGAATTGGGCGAAGTCGTGACAGCAGTTCACGAGCTCATGGGCAGGCGGCATCACGCCGAAGAGGAAAGGAAAGCGAGAGAACAGTTGGACAGGGTCTTCAAGAAACTCGATCTCAACCAGGACGGTGTTATCACGATCGAGGAGTTTATCGAGAGTTGTTTGAAGGTATGTTTGGCCATGAAACTACGAGCAATCGAGTAGTAGATGGAAAGTATACAGGGCGTCCATACCGTCGCTCCCATTTGTCTCTGTAGACTTTGAGATTGATGTATAACTGACTTTTCTTTAATGCCTTTGCTATCAGCGTGTCATATATGCTCCCATATTGACGAACTAGATTATAATAATAATAATCTCAGTTAAAATCTGAATAGAAAAAGACACAGTAAACTTGGGACACTCTGTATGCACTCCCTTTCGTAAATGAATGTAAAGTCCGAGACGTATATACAAAATGTCCCAGATCTGCCGGGTATTCTTTCAGTTAGTTTCAACTCGCAGTTCAACCAGACTTGGAACGATTCCCTCTTTTTAAATGAACTCGTAATTTTCCATGTTATATAATACATCGCGATAATTAATTATTGAATTACGTATTTCTGTAGAAATAATAGATATCTTTTTATATTTCACTGAGAAATACGATTTCATTATCCACTTATAGTCTTAGGAATTAATTTGGCAGAATCATTCGATATTAAAGACTGAATACATATCTCCGGTAGAAATATTTTTATCAGAGTGTCTATGTTGTCAAGAAACTTTTCCGTAAAATATTTGTAATTTCTAACTCTTCGTACTCGATTCTGCGATACATCGGTCAGTATTATCATAATTGATTCTTATATTCAAGATCGTCTCAAGTATAATTTTTAGATACTATATATATAAAGCAGTATAAGCTAATCACAGAGCCATATTAGCATAAAACATTATTTCAGACAATCTTAAAATAAGAACCGACTATGAATATCGGCCTTTTACAGGCCGAGTACAGGAACGTACGAATTATGCTCTAACAATAAATGCACGTGAACTTACAGTGCACGTGAGGCACGAATGCAAGAAACAAAAATAAGGACACCGAAGATTAATCGATGTTTACGGAGCTTGCGCGAGCTTGTTTGTAGTTTGTTCAGTGCTTTCGTCGATAGCGGAATGATATTCCGGGCAAGGCGCGCGTGTCTCGACCGTCGCGCTAAGTTCTGAACTTCTGAAAGGAAAAAACAGACAACATGGTTCTCAGTTGATGTGAACTTAATTGCAGGACGATGTGATCACACGGTCGCTGGCAATGTTCGACTGCGCGCTTTGATCTCCGGCTAAAGACGAGCCTTCAGCAGCGGTCACCGCGACGCCGCCGACGCCGCTCTCGACGACAACGTTCTCACAATCCCTATCCCCGTCGCCGCCGCCGCCGTCCTATTCCCTGCTGCCGCCTATCCCGCCACCTCTGCCCTCTCAGCCGCCACCTGGTTACACCGTCCAGGATCAGGAGCTCTATCTACTCCTGGCTGCCCACTGGTGGAACCAACCAGAGGCACCGCTCTTTTGTTGAAGGTAAATCTAAAGCTAGATTTCCCAATACTTTTTGAATCATTGAGAGTATCATTATAATGCCTATCTTCTTTTCAAACGAGATAGGCATTTCTCGGATATAATTCTTATGAAAAATCAAAGATATTGGAATAATTAGAGTGGAGCGCGCCAATCCGACGATAGATCTCTCATAAAATTTGAAGATGATTTCTTCCCGGCAAAAATTTATTTAGAGGATGATATCTTTGTTGAATCTTTTTCGATATTATCTCACTAACTCAAGAATTGAATTACCTAAATGTTAAAGTGTACGTAACTGATCTCTTTATCTTTCTATTTTGCTTCTATTTTTATTCTACAACTTTTGTCTTTTTTTAAATATTTTCTTTAAAATATTTTTCCTCGGTCGAACCTCTTATGGTTCAAGACTCTGATCTTCTTCTTTTAGGGCAATGCGATAATACGGCTCCTAGCAACGTAGAGTAGCAATCGAGGTCTAAATCTGTAGAATCGAAGAGCGGATTTCCTAGCATTTTGTCTCTTCGTTCTGCGAAACGTTGGACAAGCAGTACGAAGACACGATGCAAGATGTTGTTCTTATTCTCGCCGTCGAACGGAGCTTAGCGAGGACTCCATTGCCATTTCGAAAACAACACGTGAAAAACGAAGAGACCGTTTCACCTATACGGACGATCCCGTGACGATGATCGCCGGATATCTTGGCAATCATGGAAACGACAATTGGCGTCGATCTCTGGCAAGAATCTAGCGGAGTTGCAAGAACTTGATCTAAAGTCAAACTGTATATTATAATACGCGAGATAGGTACCTGTCGCATCTCCTACATTATGATCTTTTGCGCTTTGTGAAGAATGGTGTCTAAGAAAAAGACGCCCTCGAAAGTGAAAAGATACTGATCGAGGCTCGAATAAGATACGATCGACTTCCCTTTCTACGACTTGCCGCGAGAAGATTCAGTGATCGAAGAACCCTGGTATCACGAATTTGTGCCAAATTTATGGGATTTTCGGACGACGACGACGACGACGACGATGAAGGAACGGGGGAAACGGCGGGGAAGGTGCTATGCGTGGCTGTGAGTTGGAAATTACGACACAAGAACAAGTATTCTAAATTATTTAAAAAAAGAAAATAATTATAGATCACTCAGGGGATGTCACATCCAGTTGCAGACGTTCACGTTATTTGCATGATTCTGTTTCCACGGTAGGTGCTAAAAACGAAAAATTATAACGAATCGATCGCGTGGCTTTGCGTTACCAGGAGCGTTTCTCATGACTTACGGGAGATCGTGTGATTTATTTGGAAACACATTTTCTCCTATACTTGAATGTATCTCCTCCCTAATGATAGATTTCTTTTTCCCAATGCTTGGTGCGGTTGCATTAAAAAAGAATTTTTCCGCTTTGAAAGAGATTAACTGAATTCCCCTCGTAGATTATCATTTTACATTCAAAAAAATGTTATTTGTTTAAAAGAAAATACATCACATGGTTATATGTACAGGGTACATCTCGCCGTTATCACATTGTCTCTTGACGACGATTGACGACGATTGCTTCTCAAATGATTTAGGGACCCTGTATAATGTAATACATGCAAATTGACTTTTCTATCGTCTATCATTTGGTTCAAGCATATAATTGTTACATTCGTTAATTTTTTATATTCTCCGCGATTACGACCGTTTATTATGATCGCGTGGTCGTGACAATTGTGCATCGTGAAGATAAGGCAAGATTGATTTAAACCGTTCTATTTACGTAGAATGTGGATCGCAGGACTCGCAGGTCGCAAATAGACGCAGCGTGACGTATTTTCAGTTTGCAGGATGCAAAACGCAAAAGTTCATCCAACTTTATTGCGTTCTACGTCCTGCAACCTATGAAACTGGATCTTATATACCACGCAGAACGAGGGTCACAAGATTAATAACTAATTTAACGTATTTTAATTATAATAGACAGGATATAGAACGCAGGAAGTTGGATGAACTTCAACTTTCGCGTCTTGTGTCCTACGTATTGCGACTTGCGATCTATAATCTGAAATACGTTTTACTTGCAACCTAGGATCTGCATTCTGTGTGTTATGTAGAGCCGGCTTTATACATTTCGGCGTGGCCATGCATCTCCCCTAATTACATTATTAGTCACACGATCGTTGACGATCGTAGATATCATACATATGTATTTTCGTTGATAGGTTCGTAGATTGACACTTCGTTGTACGCCCTTTTCTAGACTCAATCGATTCTAACGGGCCGCGCAGGCATTCAATATTTCTGCTAACAAGGGTACGGCCAATTTTTCTATACAAAATGCATACCCTTCGACCGATACTTGTTTATTAATAAATCAATATACCAACTATCCCGCTCTATGGTCAATTTTTCCCCCTTTTGCATCGATGTTGTATCAGAGCGTACACACCGATGCTTATCGGGCAAGTACTTTTACTCTTTCCTTAGTGGTATAGTTTCACAATATCTGCCATTCAATCGTATCACCGATATTGAAGCACTGACAAGAGATATTGATCGCCTGCGGACTCCACGTGAGCGTTCATAGTGTGTAACATGTTGTATGTAGATGTACGTGCGTGAAGCATCGATTTTCTAATGTATCCGTTATTACGAGTCATAGGCGTGCGAGTGTGCGGACATACGTCAGACTAGCTAAAGTAGCGGAAGCCTGAGCGGCGATTTATGGATTATCAAAATCGATTACAATGAAACACCAAAGCTACCGTAGTTAGCTATTACTTAAATATAAACGAGAATAATAATATGGTACGATTTATATATATACATACGTACACGTAATTTTTAGGATAAATTCGCGATTAAGTACGCGGCGATTGGGGAAAATTTAGTCGTTCTCGGAAAATGCACACTGTCTCTCTCGTCGATACGCTCTATACAGAAAAACACGCGCAACGTGATAATGATCCACACGTACCCCTTTGGAAATATTGTTTGTCACCGTTGGTGGTTCGTATCAAGCTGGGTCCAGATCGTCGTTGATTGGTCGCGTCGTTGATTGCGATTAATAATCATGAAGTGACTATTATAATCGCGCGCGATTTTCCTCCTCGGGAGGAAGTATCGTCGCTGAGCGATGGGACAAGCACTTTCGCCGCGGTGACTTTCACGGGAATTAGGAACACGCGTGTTGCTAGGCTACGCCCTAAGTTACGCGTGCGTTTCTATAACGACTAATCAACGACTTAATAACGGCGAAATTGCAGATTCTACCATGATGTAAAATTGTATAAATGTAAAAAGACCAGATGTAATATTGCGCATAATATGATAACTGAATATAATTTGATATAAATTTCTGACTGGTGGCAAATTTCTAATGGCGGCTTTATATTAACTTAAAATTTGAGGCCAATTTCTGATTGATTACAAATGTCGTCATTACTTTAAACGACTGCGCATCCTTGAAATTGGTTCATCTGGTCTTCTTACGTCATTCTACATTTTATTGTGGTCGAACGTGGGGTAGCTAAGTTCTTGAGTTATGTTGGATCTGTATAAGACACAGGGTTTCGTACATACGTAGATAAGACATCGGAAACTGAGAACACTTAAATATTAAACCTTATGAAAACTCAGGCAAGAGATTCAAACAAATTACGCTTGAATAAGTCAAAATGAAGCTCAAGCTTTTAAATTCAGACAGTTTGAAATTAATGGTTGATTTTAAAGTTGGTGGTTGATCGGTTCGAAGATTTGGCTGTTCGAGTAGCTCGGACATCACTAAACGTTAGAGCCAACATAATAATTGTTACAAACAAAAAATAAATTTTTGTCTGCTCCAAATTAGACCTGTTAGAACAGGTTTAATAGATCGAACAATTTAAATCGTTTGATCGTACAAAAACTGAGAGTTAGTATTATATTTTCGAATTCAAGGGACATATTTAAGATATCTCCCTAGAATTCGAAGATGTAAAGAAATTTATAAAATATAATTCAAATGGCTCCACGAAGAGTGACGAGAGTTTCTCTTTCTTTTCTTTTTCTTTTTATTTTTCCTTAGTGATCTCTTGTAATTCCTTTTATAATCCTTTTATTTTCTCAATACTGTCTTATATAGAGATGCTGTATCTCGAGTCTCTGTCGTCTGTGATCGTATTTAGCAAAAGCCAAGAAGCCATCAATTAAGTGTCAGGACCGAATCTGGAATGAAGGCGTGCATACAATGCCAGCCATTAATCTGCGAACGCTTACAGGAAGTTGTAAAAAATGAAAAAAGCGACCGATCCATAACAACTTCGATAATTATTAAGAATAGAGGAATCAGTTCCGATGATCTTGACCTTGACATATGTTGTCAAGATCATGACCCTGAGTGACCTCCAACAAGTTTTAGCCGTCGCCCGTTACTCGTTAGAAAGTTATTAACAAATAAAGTTGATAATAAAGATTGTATTGAAATAACATTTATTTAATGTTTGCAGTAAATTTCTCACCCCACCTTCCCCTTGCCAAGGGGCGCACGACTTCCACCCCACCTGCCCCCTTGCTTGGAACATAGTAGAAAAGAGACATAATTTTTCAAACTTTTTTTGTTAATAACTTTTTAATGAATGACGAGCGACAACTAAAACCTGTTGGAGGTCACTCAGGGTCATGACCTTGACAACATATGTCAAGGTCAAGGTCAGCGAAGCTAATTCCCCTATTCTCAATAATTACCACAACTTCTTTTAACAGTTTTTTTTTAACTAACGATGCGTTAATTTATATCAGAAAAAAATTATTTAATGTATAAAATTTTATACTAAGTTATATGTATAAATTGCTTTTATACTGGACACTCCGTAAGCGTTGTCACATTAATGGCGCTTTCATAAGAAATTGAAGAATATAATTAAAATAAAAGAAGAAATCTAGTAACATTAACACGCGCAATCAACAGTGCAAAATCGTTGCGATTATCTCGCCAAGTTGACGGAGGATTTATTATATATTCGTTAGAATACAGCACACACACATAGCACACACACATGCACACACAAACGTGTCGTATGTTTTTAAATTGGAGCGATTAATACCGTCCTGCTATTTCAAAATGTAAGCACAGATTTGTCTGAGAGGAATCATGTTGATTACTTCAATTTGAAGATGGCGATACATATTTATTATATATATTATATATATATCTTCTTATGGTCTCGTCAAAATATGTATATTTATACATGTTGTAGCGCTAGCCACGGAGATATGTATAATTAAATACGTTTTTTGGGAAATACCTATACGTTATATCTCTGCCAGCATATTGATTGATATTCAATATGCGCCGTAAAATGTTATAACATAAATCGAGAATTGCGGGCATACGTTTTGAAATATTGAGCTGAAACTTTTCTAGCAGACTTTTGCTATATTTCCCACAGTACACATTATTTCGAAATTATTTTGATTGCAAACGAGCAAACATTGAACACAAATTGGCACGTACCTTTGTTTTATACGTATCCTAATGGAAGATTATATCTATATGCGCATAAATTGTACAAACACGAGATGCCGTATATTTTTTATAAATTTTTGTTACTTTTTGCGAGGCACGAAGTATTTTTGCAAAAATGTTTCTCTACGCACTCTTCGTGTAGTAATCAGTAATTTTTGCTGATTACAGTTCTTCATTGAAAGAAAGAAAAGCACAAAAATTCCTAAGAAAATATTCAAAAAGTATATAAAAATGAAAATAATTACCCTAATACCTAGAAATATTCATGAACATAGATACGTGATTTTGATTTGAATATAACTGATCGCGCGTTGTTTGATGTTTTATAGTTAAAAAAAACATGCCTATGAATTAATATAAATTGGAATAACAGAATCTTATACAAAACAGAGTTAATTGAAATCTACTTACTTTTAACTGTTATGTATACTACGTAATAAATTCTTGAAATAAATTATGAAATGTTCCTAGAAAGATAAAACTTCATTATATTAAGAATATACGTTAATCGTAAATCGAATACATAAATTATTTAGAAATTATATTGATTCTAATGAAACTTTATATTTTTTTCACACGAACTGATAGGATCGCCGAATTTGCAAAATATCTTTTTACTGCAGAATATAACTTTAAGAGGCTAAAACACGATTAATTTCTGTCGAAGCTAATATGAAAAGTATAAGAAATTAAGGTAATTAATTGCAAAATAAATTAAAATTAATATTTAATTCACACAATGATGTTTTCGGGCAATAGACCTGTGCCGAATCTTTAAAACTAGCGTTAAAATAATGTCATATCACTTGCTCGATTGCGTGCATTTTAACAAATACGTTTAATAGGCATATCTTTAATTAATATGCGGCGCTGATTTTTACTTTGGAGGATATGTACGCTTGAGATGGACCTTGACTACTGAAAACAATCGGACGATTGGATAAAGAATGCATAACAAATCGAATTGATTACGATAAAAGACATGAGAGAAGGAAAAAAATCGAAGGGGACAGGGGCTATGAATTTAACTGAGCAACAACCTAGTCAATT